AAACAAACAAACCAAAACAAAGCAAACAAAACTCCTGTATTTGTATCATATATGTGTACGCATAGAAAAAGTTGCCAAAGGGAAGTTATAAAAATTTTGACAATGGTTCATCACTGAATGACTTGCTTATGTGTGATTTCAGTTTCTTCTTCATCTTTTCGGTATTCTCTGATTTTATTTTGCCATGAGCATATGTTACCTATTTTTAGACCTTTTTCATTTGTCATATTTCATATGTAGGCAAGAATATATCTGATGAGAATTTAGAACAATAAACAAATACTTCCTCACTCATCTCAGAGTGCGTGCAGCAGAGCATGGCTACAGCCCTTGGAGTGCCTGGTATGCCTTCCTCCACTTGGCATGTGCCTCCCGAGGGCAGCCTCTCTGTGCTCTGAATTGATATTTCTGTTCCCACATTTTTCATGTTAGTTTTACTCCATGTGTCTGTGTCTCTAAAACTTATTGTCCGATTTAATGTCTTTGAACTTTAGGTAAATGGTTTCATAGTGTGTATTTTTTTTTCTGCCTCTTGCTCCCCCCAAGCTTGTATACTCATGTTTGCCATTATATAACATTTCGTTCTGTATGTCACAATGTATTTACCTGTTTTTCAGTTGGTAGACACTGGGTTGTGTCTTTTTTTTTTGCTGTTACTAAAATGCTGCTGAGAACATTCTTACCAGTATATCTCAATATGCATTTATAGAGGCATCTTTTAGACTCAAGAATGGGCCTGGAAATGGAATTGCTGGGTCATAGGCGATACACATGTTCATCTCTAGTGGTTAATGCATCATTGTTTCTAAAGGGATTGTAACAATATAAACTCTCAAATGTAGTGTGTAACAATTCCTGTTTCTTCACATGTTTGCCAATATTTGGTAATGTGTTCCTTTTTAATCAGAAAAAAACAATGGCTTAAACACATACCTTAAGGGAAAACCAGTCTTGGAGCTTTTCATTAAAAGTTATAAATTGTGTGAGTGTTCCCAGTGACGTGACTGTCCATGTCCTTGCAGGTACGCCAATAGCAGCCTCATCAAGTACATGGAGAAACACAAGGTCAAGCCCGACAGCAAAGTGTTCCTCTTGGTAGGTGCTTCCCCCAGACTGCCCGAGCCCAGCACCTCTCCCAGCCCAGCCTCCTAACATGGATGTGCCAGCAATCCCTCTTCTTTAGAAACAAAAGGGGGGCAGGGCGTGATGCTGGGGTAGTCAGGCATTCTTCTGTTGCCATGTCACCCTTGACTTCTAGCCTTAACTTTTTAAATTATTTATCAGCAGAAAACGAATTTTAAAAGGGCTTTAATGCTGATGATTTCTGTCAGTTTTACATATATATATGTGGTGTGCGAATCTGCAGTGAGCTATACAGAATGGATTTTTTTGTTGATCCTGCCAGATATTAATACAAAAGACAGAATGTTGGCTTGCAACCTTCATGTGCTGTAAATTTCTTGTGTGTTACTTCAGCTTCAGAAGCTCCTCACCATGGATCCAACCAAGAGAATCACCTCGGAGCAGGCACTGCAGGACCCCTACTTCCAGGAGGACCCCTTGCCGACGCTGGAGTACGTGTTCCCGCGTGCTGTGCCCTTTGCTGTAGGGCGAGGGTGTCTGATGGTGGCTGAAAGCAGGGGATACAGTCATTCCTGAGATATTTTATTTTCTTAACTAGCTAGAGAGGCCAGGTTCGGTGGCTCAGTCTATAATCCCAGCACTTTGGTAGGCTGAGGCGAGTGGACTGCCTGAACTCACGGGTTTGAGACCAGCCCAGGCAACTTGGCGAGACCTTGTCTCTACAATAAATCAAAAATTAGCTGGCCATGGTAGCACGTGCCTGTAGTTCCAGCTACTTGAAAGGCTGAGGCGGAAGGACTGCTGGAGCCCAGCAGGTCGATGCTGGAGTGACCGTGAGTGTGCCACTGCACTCCAGCCTGGGCAACAGAGTGAGACTCCAACTCAAAAAAAACCAAAGCTAACTAGAGAAAACTGCTCAAGAGAAAGATCTCATGCTTTGAAACGGGAAAAGCCCTAGAGAGGTGTGAATGAAGAGAAGTGTTTTAAGAATGACTGTTTATCTGTTTTATAGATGAAAACTAGAGCTGAGAACAGATGAGACTTTTATGCACCAATCACCCAGATTAGAGATGAAACCAGACTTAAAATTCTGTCTCCCAGAGCATGCCCACTGCCTGGTGCAACCCCCTAGCCCTTTCAGTGTCATTACTCCCGAGTAGCCAGTCTGCCTGCGCCAACCAGCGATGCAGTTTTCCTTGAGAAAAATAAAAACTTCTTATTGAAGCAAACACAGATTAAGTTATTTTTGGTGCTAGTGACGTTACATTAGTATGGAGAAACTTCTATGTCATGTATGTTGACTAGCTAATAGCAGTCAAGATTCGAAACTGAAAGTGGCAATTACTGTAAAACTTCAGGCAATGAATTGTTCTTTTCTTAATGCTAGATTAAAGTTTGGTAGGGAGGCACACAGCAAGCACCAGGCCCAGATGAAGAGTAGGAAATAAGTGAGGAGATAATTTTAAGTTAATAAGGTAATGATGTTATAGATTGTAGGTCGTGACTTTTTTCTTTTTAATAACTTTCAGCGTATTTGCTGGCTGCCAGATTCCATACCCCAAGCGGGAATTCCTTAATGAAGACGAGCCTGAAGAAAAAGGTGACAAGGTATGAACTGGCCGGGTATATGCTGCTTCCAGGGAGGGAGGGAGGCAGAGAGTTCACCTAAGTAGGATGCAATGATTCCTCTATGCCTGGCCACCTTTTTAAAAGTTAAGTTGGTGTTTTATGTTTTGTGGCGACATGAGGATTGCAGGTACAGCTGGAGTTTGAAGTGTGGTAAGCTTGTAGGTAGATAAACTCCCGGCTCGTGTTCCAGCCTGTTCTGTTCCCCAAGTCCTCAGGCCTACTGTTTACGTTGCGCTAACTGAACTCCAGAGAGAGTACTGTTTGCAGCTCTGCATGTTGGTTGTTGAGAATGCTGTTTCCTGGCTGGTCTGGCCTTCGGTCCTGCCAGGCACGTTCGTGGCCTGCATAGATTGCTCTCCCAGGCAGCCAGCAGCCCTGTGTGTGCACGTCAAGTCATGTGAGTGTCGTTCATGCCAAGCTTGCCTTTTTCCCTTAAAAGAATCAGCAGCCGCCGCAGAACCAGCACCAGCAGCCCACAGCCCCACCGCCGCAGGCCGCAGCCCCTCCTCAGGCGCCCCCGCCACAGCAGAACAGCACCCAGACCAATGGGACCAGTGGGACTGGCGCGGGGGTAGGGGCCGCAGGCGCAGGGCTGCAGCACAGCCAGGATTCAGGCCTGAGCCAGGTGCCTCCCAACAAGAAGCCGCGGCTGGGGCCTTCGGGCGCAAACTCAGGCGGGCCTGTGATGCCGGCGGACTACCAGGTAAGGCCTGGTGCTGGTGCTCCTGTGTGTTTGTGTGTTTTACGAGATGGGAAGCCAGTTTATAGGAGGACTTCTCAGAGTTGAGAAATACTTAGCTCTCACATTGGACTATACAAACTCTACATCAAGGGCATCATATGAAAATGAAGATATCATTATCATACTGCATGTAACTGAGATGTTTCACATCCTGACACTCTGAGGAGGGAGGGGGAGGTGGGGATATAGGAGCCATCCTCCTTCAAGAAAATCTCATCATTTTACCCTTACAGCTGCCTTAACAGTTTTGGTACTACAAAGATACATAGATAAACAATTGAACAAAGAGGGGAGGGGTGGCTTACTTTGGACAGACTAATTGCATTCTTCAGAAAGATTTGTTCCTCCCTGGAGGAAATAACCAGTAAGTAGCCAAATAGATGCAGAAGAAAAAGGGATTAAGATGGAGACTTCTCAGAAACAACTGGTAAATCTCACTAGAAATAATTTTGAAGCTAGAAAATACTTTCTGTTATTAAAATAAAAAGAGAACTACGATTGTACTACTAATTCAGGAAATTAAAGGAAATAAGTCTAAGGATTGGTATTTGGAAAGAGGTAAAAATAACCATTATGATAACTATAGGAAGTCTTGTAACAAAGGTCATTTTCAAGGTAGTAACAAGTTAAGAAAGAGCTGAAGGGAAAACTTAAAATTATTTGGGGAAAAAAAAAGGTTCAGCACCACAGCCCCTTCGGGGACTCATGAAAGAGGAACCTCAAGACCAGATAATAGAAAACAAAACCCCTGCTAAAGGAGCCATAAACTCAGTGATAGGGAACTGGAATAAAGAGAAAGTTTAACAAGAAAGACATAACAAATAACTGCCCTAAGTGACTTTGCATTTTGAATAGCTCGACAAACTAATGTGTTTTCACACAAGAACTTCCCACAGAAAACTTTTCTTTGAAGGCTCCCTGCAGGCAGGAGAGTATACAGTCTTTCAGTTGGTTCCAGTTAAACTAATCAAGGCCACAGTGTGACCTACTGAAAACAGCTTGCTGTTTGAGTAGTGGTCATGAGCATATTTGGATTTTGTTATAAATTCAATTTTCCCCAAACTGTACTTTATCCCTGTTCTATGAGCAACATATGTCTGTTAGGGACTGGTTCATCCTTGTGTCTCTGACTGTATTATATTAACCTGTGTTAAAGGTTACAAATACTTGTTAAAGTTGGTAAGGCGGAGTTCATTCAAAGGGGCGAGCATAGAGGTGGGTATAGGGGCCACTCAGTAGGATCTTGGGGGAGGAGGTTAGGCTCCCTCCAGCTCCAGCAATGACCAGGGGAGGGTTGTAAACAGGGAGAGGGTGGGCTCAGGGTGAAGACCTCCAGGATAAAGGGCTTCTGCTGAGCTGACTGGGGCTGATGGCTGAAGGCAGGCCAGGGCAGTTAGCTACCAAGGATGGCGGGTGCTGCTTAGCTGGCTCAGAAGGATCCTTGCTCTAACAGACTCTGTAAGCCTAGGGTCAGGCTTAGTCAAGCAGAGGGCTCAGAGGAGCCTGGCTGAAGCTTTGGTCGAAGGGAAAAGTCTTTGTCACCTGATTAGAGTCCATTATAGACAGGCTACGGTATTTCTGGTTTTTTTCAAATCAAAACTTCTGCCAGGCACAGTGGCTCAAGCCTGTAATCTCAGGCTTTAGAAGGCAGAGGCAAGGGTATTGCCTGAGCCCAGGGGTTCGAGACCAGCCTGAGCAACTTGGCGAGATTTCGTCTCTACAATAAATTAAAAAATTAGCCGGGCATGGTGGTGCACACCTGTAGTTCCAGCTACTCGGAAGGCAGAAGTGGAAGGACCACTTGAGCCCGGCAGGTTGAGGCTACGGTGAGGTTGACGGTGAGTGTGCCACTGTACTTCAGCCTGGGTGACAGAGTGAGATTCCAACTCAAAAAAAAGGAAAGAAAAAAACATATTCAAAATGCTTTTCTCTGTCCTTATTGTTCTATTTACATATAAATAACCCTTCCATAGCAGAATCCTGATTCCTGTGGGGGAAAAGCCTTTCCAGCAAATCTGTTAGATGAATTGATATCTCAGCTATTTAGTTGGAGAGGCTAGCATGAGTTGGAGAACTGTGTCCTGTTGCAAATAACAGAGGGAACAAGGGAAAACTCCCCCATACCCTCCAAGACTTCCTGAAAAATCAGCTCACAAAAGGCAGATTAGTTAGAGAAAGGGCATCTGATTTGTTAATGCACTCACAGGGAGAATCCCAGAGTGACTGCCCACAGCCAACTGGGCTCAGAAGCTTAAGTACCAGTCTGGAGACACAGGATACAGGTAATGGGAACGGAAAGGAAAGGAATTTTGCTGAGGGACAATATATGACTACTAGGGAGAATGATTGGATCTGGAAGCAGAAGCTGACTTGTAAATATATCTCCTTGGAATTTGAGTGACTACTAGATATAATCTTGTGAAAAGGGCTGTTCAGAAAGGATGACATTCTTGGTCTTCTTTTTCTGCAATAGATAAAATAACAGGGAAGGGGAAAAAAAAAAAAAAGATTGTTCTCCATGGTGGGTCAGCCTGTCTTTATGTAAATGAGGGAGATCTCTTTCAGCCCAGTGGTCGCTAAGGGTGCTGAAAATTCAAAACAGTCATTATGCCAGGGAGCCATATTTTGGGATGAAATTCCTGTCACTCCTGCAATCAACATGTTTGTCCTTTATCTGGTATGGAAGAGCTTCTATGCTGACTCTAATCTGCTAGCGTGAAGTGTTCATAGCTAGCCTAAAAATTGTAGGGCATCAGTGTCATTGTTCTCTTCTTTTTTTCTTACATTTTTCTAGTTTGAAGCCTTCTCAGGAATAAAACATCTTTATATTTTATTTTCATCATGAACGCTTTTGAAATTGAAAAATTAACAGGCATTTTTCATGTCTAAGAAAGGCTAATATATTTAATTTTCTTGTATTTGATTCTCCCCAAGTTACTTTTAACTTGGTTTATTCAAGGCTAGACTTGAAGTTAAGGCCAGATTTAACTCAAACCTAACTAATGTGAGTTAACTACAAGTGGAGAACTCTTGTCAAGCTTTCCAGTGAATTCCGTAAGGGCCAGGGGAGCACTTTCCCCTCGGTCCTCAAGGTTTGCTGAAAAATCAACTCATAAATGGCAGATTAATAGGAGAAAAGGCACACGAAGTTATTTAACGTGTTTACACGGGAGCCTTCAGAATGAAGACCCAAAGATAAAGAAGAAATTGTCCATTCTTATGCTTAGGATCAACACAACACAGACAGTGATGCAGACATGTGATTGGACACAGGGTGTGATCTAATGCTTATAGACTGAGTGGGGAGCCCAGCAAGGCCTCTGTCTAGATCCTTCCTGGGCTCTCTGAGCAGCATCCTTCCTTCTGGGTTTGGGCAGGGCCCTTTCTGGAATGGGGGATCTCATGACCTACAGTCAAGCAAGGCAGGTCAGATCATTTCTTTAAAGCCAAAAGGCAGAGAGAAAGAGTAAATTTTAGGTTTTATGAGTAGCTTTAGGGGAAGCGTTCTGGTTTCTATACCTGCCTTGGGGAAGAGGGATTCCAGGTTTTATGGCTAGCCTCAGTGGGGAATGGGACTGAGAGACAGGAGGCAGGGGAAGAGCAGAGAAGAACTTTTGCTTCTGAGGCCTCATTCTAGGGGTTGTTTCCTGATCTCGACAGTTCCATGAGCAGATCACCAGGTTTCTGAACTGCTTCCGTGTATTGCAAGCACAGTAAGTACTTGAAAGAGGGACATTGGCTTTATTTCCTGTCTTTAAAAAAAAAGTCCTTCCATTTAAAAAAAAAACACATGAAGCACATTTGATTCTCATATATCTACATTATATTTTATGACAAAATTGCCATGAATGACTTATGAGTGGAAAGAACATTTTTCACAATAAACTTCAAAATTAAACATGTAGTTAAAATTTGGAATTTTGAAAGACTTCTTTCTCCAACACAACTAATCAGTCGTGGAACTCAGGAAGGAGCAGAACTGAGTTGTTATTAGCCAAAACTTGCTTAGTACCCTGTTGTCTTGCCCTGGAGGTTGCAAGTCCAGTTTGACACTGAGGGAACACTGAGGGAAACTTGCCACTTTGTCCTTTCTTCAACCCCTCGTGCCACCTCAAGGTCATTGACATTTTTAACTCAAAGTAATAGCTTTGCGACGTAATATTCTTTCCCAGTTTGCAAGAAAAAAACCAGCCCTCCAAAGATAGCCAAGGACACTGGTGCCAGCTGTGCTTCTGTTTAACCAGGCACAGAGTTCTTAGTCTGTAGGAGAACTTCCTTCTCACACTTTTTTTCATATGTGCCTTAGGTACTATGATGATGAAGGAGTCGTTTAAAGTAATAAAATTTGACCGGGCGTGGTGGCTCAAGCCTGTAATCCCAGCAATTTGGGAGGCCAAGCTGAGAGGATTGTCTGACCCTGCGGGTTTGAGATCAGCCTGGGCAACATAGTGAGACCTCATCTCTACAATAAATCAAAAAACTGACCAGGTGTGGTGTGCGTGCCTGTAGTTCCTGCTACCTAGAAGGCTGTGGCAGAAGGATCGCTGGAGCCCAGCAGGTCGACGCTGGGATGGCCTTGAGCATGCCACTGTACTCCAACCTGGGCGACGGAGTGAGACTCCAACTCAAAAATATATAAATAAATAAAGTAGCAAAAATACATTGAACTGAAATACATTTTTCTGTGTCTTCTCTCGAGGACAATCCTGTATGAAAACTGCTTCATTCTAAATATTATGTGGAGTCTGTAAACTCACTCTCTGCCGGCACACCCACCTGGCCTGGCCTTGTGAGTGAGCCTACTGGTGCCCCTGCTTCTCCCTCTGAAAGCTCTTTGCTCCGAAAGAATGGTTTCTGAATCACAGCTTTGTTTTTTTATTATAAGAAGAATATTAGCAACTTTTCCGTATACATGATGAGTGCCATCGATTTCAGTATGCCATACGGATTTTCCTTACTGCACTTGATCTTAGCCAAATGGCCAAGAAGCAGTGCACACGGATTATTCTTGTTTGCAAATTTCAGTTCTGCAAAGGCCTAGACTTCAGCCCAGAATTGGGCAGTGTAAAGAGCAGTGGGTCTGCTCAAGCTCCTCTTTGCCTTTCTTTGCAGCGTACTCACGTCCTGAGGAAATCCAGCCAGATTCCATGCCTGCCAGACATGTGTGGTGGCAGCAATGGCAGGCTGTGATTGCAGATGAGCAAAATGAATGGACACAGTAACAGTTAGCTGTCAGCTACGTGGCTCTGCATCGGAGCCTCATGGGGAGGAAGGTCTTATGTCTGTGTCCTGAGCCACTCTCTTCTTCCTTCAGTAATGCCATTTGCTGTTTTCTCCTAGCATTCCAGTTCTCGCCTGAATTACCAAAGCAGCGTTCAGGGATCCTCCCAGTCCCAGAGCACCCTTGGCTACTCCGCCTCGTCCCAGCAGAGCTCGCAGTACCACTCGTCTCACCAGACCCACCGGTACTGAGAGCTCCAGCCCATGCCAGCCCAGAGCACAGACTCCAGCAATATGATGTCTGCATCGACAAGAACCAAAACGTGCAAACTAGGATGCCATAAGCTCACACGCGTGGGAGGAAAACCCTGTACATGAACATTTTGCAGGACTGGTGTCTCTTCTTTATTGCGGTAAAGAAGATTCTGTGAAGCTCCCCGGCACCCTCCCCCGCATGTGCTCTGTTGTGACTTCAATGATGAAGCGTCTAATCTGATCCCAGCACTCTGTAACCTTCAGCATTTTTTTGAAGGATTTCCTGGTGCACCTTTCTCGTGCTGTAGCAATCACTCTGATTTATCTTTTCAAAGCTCTTTTTAATAGGATTTTAATGTTTTAGAAACAGGATTCCAGTGGTGTATAGTTTTATACTTCATGAACTGATTTAGCAACACAGGTAAAAATGCACCTTTTAAAGCACTACGTTTTTACAGACGATGACTGTTTTGCTCATGGAAGTCTTAAACAGAAACTGTTATGTCCCAAAGTACTTTAGTATTATGTTTTTATTTATCTAGTTTCAGGGAAGGTCTCATGAAAAGACAAGTGGTGGGACAGAGGAACCTACAACCAAAAACGGCCCGGATCTCGCAGTTACTATGCTTTATGCTAGGAAGAACGGAAGTCTGTGGTGATTTTTATATGCTCATTCACATGGAACTTAGTTCCTGAATTGTCTTATTCTGAGTGGTCTTCAATAACTGAGAATCATAATTTAACCTTCATGTAGCCAAGTTACCTTCCAAAGGGTTTCAAGAGCCCGGATAAAATGAGTCTTGGAGGTCCACATCAGAATGCTCAAGAGAAAGCCAGTGGCACTAGGATATCTTTAAGGAGTAATCTTGATCAAAGGATGTGGTCCTTCCCGCTGAAGGAAAAGCTTTCATTGTGCATTGTACCTAAAGCTGGCTTCTCTGCAGAACTGTTGGTTTCTCCTCATCCGGGTTCACATGAGTAACTTTCTTACATAATCAAGGGTTCTCAAGCAGAAGCCTGCAAGCCAGCCTGCTTTTCAAGTAAAGAGCGGTGGCCTCCATTCGAATCTGCATTCAACATAGAGTGACTATTTTTAAAGCATGTTAAAAATTTAGGTTTTATTCATGTTTAAAGTGTATTATGTATGCATCATTTTGCTGTTGTTACTGAAACTTAATTCTATCAAGGATCTCTTCATTGCACTGAATGCTTTCTTTTGCCCCTAGGAGAAAACATAATCATTGTGCCTAAAAACTATGGGCAGACAGTATGAGTCTACTAGATGAGATGAATATTTGCATTTCCATTGTCGGTGACCTGGTGGCCGGATTCGTCCTTAGCCACTTCAGGGAGCCCCTCGCTCCGAGTCCGAAGGAAATGTCAAGGCCTGAGCTCCCGCAGCGTAGGGGCAAGACGTGCATGTTCCTCTGAATGCTACTGGCAGCACCAGCCTTGTTTTAAACGTTTTCTTGAGCTAGAAGAAATAGCTGATTATTGTATATGCAAACTATATGCATTTTTAAACTATTCTTTGTGAACTTATCTACCTGGTTATGATACTCTGGGTCCATACACAAGTAAAATAAGATTGAGACAGAAGCCAGTATACATTTTGCACTATTGATGTGATACCATAGCCAGCCAGGACCTTACTGATCTCACGTGATAATGCCTATTGATAAGGATAACGCTGTAGAGTGACGGTCAGCGAGACAGGCGACATGTTGTAGTGGAAGGGTTTCCCGTGACCCTCCATGGCATTTTACCCCTCCAATTGTTTAAATAAGAAGTGAGCGGCCTCTGCATAATGTAGCTACCTATATGAAGCCCTGTCCCGTGCCCACCACTTCACTGCCCACGGCCATTGGTCACCAGATGTTCGCTACACCCTCACCATGTGCCCCAAGGGCAGGGTGTACTTCCTGTCCATAAGGGGCTTATGGCTTCAGTAAGCCCTCCTGGGACATCTGTGCCATGTGATTGACTTCTAAGTGAATTCGTCTTATAATAGGACTGTCCTTTTGTTTACTCCTAAACCCATTTGGGTAGTTATTATTCCAGATTCTGTTCTGTGGTAATCAGTGTCATGAAAGGGTTTCTGTTTCTGTCCACCTTATAGAAAGCCAGTGATTAACTATCACAAGGCATCTGTGTGTGTTAGGAATATTCACAGCAGCCTTTCAGCAACAGTTAGGTGGCCCTTATTGGCTGAACACACTCTGCTCAGTGGTTGCAGGAAGTTACAATGAAAATAGAAGCTCTGTTCCTGCCCTCAAGGGAGCTTATATTTAATACAAGAAAACAGACCCCAGTATATATATAAACCAAAATGCCATGTCCCTTATTACTTTATAAGCAACTTGGGTATACAGTTCTTATGATCCATGCTTACGCATTCACAGGACTAACCTGTTTTCCTCGTATACAATGAATCTTACTGGCAGAACTGAAATCTAAACCATAAGGGGTTTTCATCAGCTGCTCCCAGTGCAGGGGATTCCCACAACACGGCCAGAAATCCTCAGTTCACGCATGACTGGATTTCTTGTCACTGCCCTGGTACTGCCCTGGTACTGCCCTTCTTCCTTGCCTCAGGGTCAGCGATGCCCACTGGTTCCCATTACCCTTCGAAATAATTTTAGTTCATACTTTTCTTTGCTATTAAGACTAAAACCTTCAACACACATAAGGGACCTCTAAGGAGACGTGTGAAGTGTTTTTGAGAGCAAAACTTACCTCTGTGGTCCCCAAGTAGTAAGTTTATGAAATACTGTTATGTTCCCTGTGGACACAGGAGGGACATCCCTCAGCCTGTGGGAACACCCAACCCAAGGAAGGAAGGAATCAAAGTTTCCTGTGCTCCATAAACCAGTGTTAGAGTTGGCTTCTGGTGAGGTGTGTGTGTGAAAAGGGGCTCAGGAGCTTCGGGACAGATGAACTCAAGGTACAGTAGCTTGGCGGCAGGGTGGATCCTGTGAGGCTGGAACGGTCCTCGTGATGAAGTAGATCATGCAGCGATGGACAAAGACCAACGATCTGCCTATTTTTATGCGTGTGGTTTTGAGACTTCAGTACTCGGAACTGTGGCCCTCCGCTGCTCTGTTGCTCTTACAGACAGAATTCACTCTTAAGAATGGAGAGGGACGATGTTTACCTGCATGCTCTGCCTCTTTCCTGGTGAGGCAGCTGCTTGCCGGTTGCTCTCTATGCCTCTAAAGTGATGGGAAAATAATTGGAAAATGAGACTTGCAGCTTGATCTGCTTTTGAGTAAATTATGTAGCAGAAACTATACAATGAAGGAAGGATTCTATGAAAATGGCAAATCCAAAACTCTGGTGATGTCTTCCTAAGGAGTGGGAAATGGCAGTTAGACCAATGCGAGCATGAAGGATGCAAATACAAGTAATATTTTATATAAAATATAGCAGCTTAGGTCCCCACAATCCTCAAGATAGTCACAAATATCATATAACAAAGTTCAATGTTATAGGATTTTTAAAAATGTGTTGTACTTAAGGCCATACTTACTCTCTGTGCTATCACTGCGAAGGAGTGATATGTATGTATTATATGAAAAAAAGATCCTTAATGCACTGTTATCTCCTAAATATTTAGTAAATTAATACTATTTAATTTTTTTAAAGATTTGTCTGTGTAGACACTAAAAGTATTACACAAAATTTGGACTGAAGGTGTCCTTTTTAACAACAACTTAAAGTGCTTTTTATGTATGTTATGTAGACTATCCTTTCTAAACTGCCGAGTTTGTACATTCTATAACTCCTATTTGTGAAGTGTACCGTTCTTGTCTCTCTCTTCGGTCGTCTCTGCACGCATCCCTCTCCACATGATTACAGGGACAACTGGCGTGGCTGCCCCCTGCACGCGTGTGCTCGGAGCCACCTGCGCCCGGCAAGGCCCGCCCCACGCGGACAGGCTGAGCCGCTGCCTTGGAGCGAGTGCTTCCTGCTCTGGAGCTGTCCTGACATCCTCCTTGAAACGACTGTTAAAACTAAAATAAATTACATTGCATTTATTTTATATTCTTGGTTGAAATAAAATTTAATTGACTTTGCTTCCGTGTGGATTTTTAAGTATAAAAAAGCCTCTCATAATAAGTTTGTTTTTGTTTTTGTTTTTTGAGTTGGAGTCTCACTTCTTGCCCAGACTGGAGTGCAGTGGCCGCTCCCAGCCACCGCAGCCTCGACCTGCTGGGCTCCGGCGATCCTTCCACTCAACCTTCCAAGTAGCTGGAACTACAGGTGCATGCTACCATGCCCGGCTAATTTTTGATTTATTGTAGAGATGAGGTCTCGCCAAGTTGCCCAGGCGGGTCTCGAACCCATAGGTTCAGGCAACTCACCTCAGCCTCCCCAAGCGAGGGATTACAGGCTAAGCCACCGAGCCCAGCCATAATAAGTTTTAATGTTAAAGTTGTACCTGTGTGCCTAGAAGCTTCTATGATCACACGTATCCTGCAGAGGTGCAGTGTCCCCTGTGAGTTGCAGTGTGTGATTCTGTTCAGGGTGCCCATGGCGTCACAAAACCACAGAGGCCAGCAGGGCCAGCGAATACCTCAGAAGTGAAAGCACAACTTTTTAAACATCGCTAGGAGAAACTTTTTTTTTTTTTTTTCACAAAAAGAAAATGAGTGCTTGCTTGAGCAGAAATACACTAAAATTGGAACCATGCGGAGATTAGCATGGCCCTTGTGCACGGATGACATGCAAATTCATGAAGTGTTTCATTATTTTATATTAATTTAAAGAAAATTAGAATGATTTTTAGGAAAAGAACATATAAGCAGCTTTTTGTGGATGGAGTTGGGTTGGAATTTTCTGCTTTTTAAATTTTTATTCTTTTTTAGAGACTGGGTTTCTTTTGCTCTGTCACCCAGGCTGGAGTGCAGTGGCTGTCGCAGACTTGTCATAGCTTCTCCAGGGATCCTCTTGCCTCAGCCTCCCAAGTAGCTAGAACTATGAGTTTGTGCCACCATACAAACTTTTTTTTGTAGAGGCAATCTCACTATGTTGCCCAGGCTGGTCTGGAATTCCTGGCCTCAAGCTACCCTCCTGCCTTGGCCTCTGCAGTAGCTGGGATTGCAGGCATGAGCCACAGCACCTGGCCACTTTCTTCTTTCATAATAGCATTCTGTTGTACTTGGCTGCACCTTTGTAATTTACCTGATGAACCTTCTGTGGTTACTTCAGTATTCATCGGCATCATGGAGTGAACCGAACAATGTTTAAGTGACAATTAAAAAATTGGCTGGGCACAATGGTTCACGCCTATAGTCCCAGCACTTTGGGAGGCAGAGGCAAGAGGATTGTCTGAGCCCGGGGGTTCAAGACCAGCCTGGACAACTTGGCAAGACCTCATCTCTACAATAAATACAAAAATTAGCTGGGCGTAGTGGTGCACACTTGTAGTCCCAGCTACTCAGTCCCCCTGCACTCCATCCTGGGCAACAGAGGGAGACTCCAACTCAAAAAATAAAAATTAAAAATTTTCTATTTAAAATTGCCACTGCACAGCTGCTTCGCTGGCTGGCATGGATTGTGTTCAGTGCTGTGTGATTTGCAGGCGAGATCTTCTCTTGGAAAACTGTTCTTTGACCTAAGCTGCCCTTCTCACCCGCCATCTGGATAAGAGAAAGGGGACGGCTGAACATACCCTCTACCCGCCTGGGAGAACTGAGAAGTTCATGTCCATCTCCCTGAAGACTGTCTATCGCCTGTGGACAGAGACCTGGGCGTTATTCCCCTCAGCGCTCCCAGAAGCTGGCATGATACCCAGCAGAGCAGATCCTTCATACAGCAGGCCGCTGGCCTCACTTTATACACTCACGCAGAATTCTTGAATCACATAATGGGCCATAATTTTATTGGGTTGGGATGGGCATAATTTTATTCCCTGAATAAAGAAAACGCTAGAAATAGGCATTGCTTTCTTTTCTTTTTTTTTTTTTTTTGAGTTGAAGTCTCACTCTCACCCAGACTGAAGTGCAGTGGCCGCTCCCGGCCACCGCAGCCTTGACCTGCTGGGTTCCCGTGATCCTTCCGCCTCAGCCTTCCGAGTAGCCGGAATTACAGGCATGCACTACCACGTCCGGCTGATTTTTTGATTTATCGTAGAGATGAAGTCTCGCTGCCCAGGCGGGTCTCGAACCCGCAGGCTCAGTCGATCCACTCACCTCAGCCTCCCAAAGGTGCGGGATTACAGGCTGAGCCACCGAGCCCAGCTGCATTATTTTCTTTTAACATTGTTTGAAGACCACCCAGATGCCCAGTCTGAACCATGTAGGACACATCTTATATTTTTTTCTTATTCATGTTTTCTCTGCCACCACCCCCCAACCCCATTGAATGACAGTAGTAAAGAGATGGGGGAAGTGATGAGTATCATCTAGGTCAGTGGTTTTCTGTCGGTCCCACACCCCTTTGTAGAACTACCTTTGTAGGCCGGGAGTGGTGGCTCAAGCCTATAATCCCAGCACTTTGGGAGGCTGAGGCGAGAGGATTGCCTAAGCCCAGGGATTTGAGACCAGCCTGGGCAACTTGGTGAAGTCTCGTCTCTATAATAAATCAAAAAATTAGCTGGGCGGGGTGGTGCATGCTTGTAGTTCAAGCTACTTGGGAGGCTGAGGCGGAAGGATCACCTGGGCCCAGCAGGTCGAGGCTGTGGTGGCCATGAGCATGCCACTGCGCTCCAGCCTGGGCGACAGAGTGAGACTCCAACTCAAAAAAAGAAAAAAGAAAGAAATACCTTTGTAAGACCAGATGCAGTGGCTCATGCCTGTAATCCCACCACTTTGGGAAGGCGAGGTGGGAGGGATTACTTGAGTCCAGGTGTTTGAGACCAGCCTAGGCAACATAGAGAGAGCTCATCTCTCTAAAAAAAAAAAAAAAATCAAAAAAATTATGTGGGTGTGATGTGCACCTGTAGTCCCAGCTACTTGGGAGTTTGAGATGAGAGGATAACCCGAGCCCAAGAAGTTGAGGCAGTGTTAAGCCATGATCATGCCACTGCACTCCCACTGTTCTGACAGAGTGTGAGACCCTGATTTAAAAAAAAAGAAAAGAGAACAAAGACTTTTGTAATGCTCCTTTATCTGTCATGAAAATCATAGAGAATGTAACTGACTTACACATGCAATTTCAATGCAGTGATTTAAGAGAGAACATTTAAAAAGTAAGTTATAAAGTGCAGATGCTCCTCAGCTTATGTGGACTTATGTTCAGAGGCACTTCTGAATAAGTATCACTTCTGCACCATCATAAAGCCAGAATATTATAAGGCAAACCATTGTAAGGTAGTGAGCATCTGTGATGTGTGTTCCATTATGTAGATTCTTAGCATGACTGCATTAGAAGCCACAATTAACTAGTGACAAAATGCAGACTGATGGGATGTGCTGTATTGGCAACTCAAATGCCACAGGCTATGGTGCTATTAGTGATGCCACTTTAAAAAAATTACATATAATTTTTCCGTAGACTTCTGTGGCCATGATGCAACTTTCTGAAATTATGAGCAACTTTTGGTAAAGTTTAAAAATGCTGGGCATGGTGGCTCACACCTGTAATCCCAGCACTTTTGGAGGCACGGGCAAGAGGACTGCCTGAGCCCACAGGTTTGAGACCAGCCTGGGCAACCTGGCGAGACCTCATCTCTACAATAAATCAAAAAATTAGCTGGGCAGAATGGCTTGGGCCTGTAGTTCCAGCTACATGGAAGGCTGAGGTGGAAGGATTGCCTGAGCCCAGCAGGTTGAGGCTGCGGTGGCCGTGAGTGTGCCACTGCACTCCAGCCTGGGTGACAGAGTGAGACCCCAACTCAAAAAGAAAAAATGCAACTTACCAGCTTACCATGATTTATGTGATAGTCTCACTCCTAGCAAGTCAGCATGGCCTCTACAAAAAGTACTTTTTGTTTATATAAAAAGTGAGCTAAGTTCTGAGTTTACATAATAAAGAGGGTTTCACCTAAGGAATGAGTGAAGGAACATCAGAAAGCTGCAAGAGAGGCAGGACAGTTCTCCATTGTGAGCACAGTCTTGCACATTTCAGCATAAGGCAACCCTGGCCCTCGCCCTCAGCAGGTCAGCAGCAGCCTCCAATGGTCAGATAACCCCCAGAAGTCCCCAGAAGTGTCTAGAAAGACTCCCAGAGGACACAGTGGAGGTCCACTGAGCTAAGCCAAGGCCCACTGGAGACAGGATTATTACCATACAATCTAGAAGTTGACCCTCAGCTCTAAAGGCCTGAGGTAAACCCCCACATGCCAGTTCATTGGCTCACTGCCCTGGTTCTCCAGTGGGGGCACTCGGACCAGTAGAGGAGATGGCCAGTCAGACTAAGGCGGCAGATGGCCGCTTCCTCCTCGGGTGTTTCTGTTCATTCACCTATTGAGTTCCCATGAGTACTTCTGTGTGAACAAAGGGTTCCTCGACTTTTGTTTTTGTTTTTGTTTTAAATACAGAGGGTACCAAAAAAAAATTACACACATTTTAAGTGACATTTGCTCAAAAGATGGTGTTAATCAAATGAATGCTAGCATCCCCATGTGACAGGTAGGACAGTCAAAGAAAATGGTGGAAGCTTGGTTGAGCAAACGTATACTACACATTGCTACTGTAATTCAATTTGACTTTTAAAAAACTACATAGATAACATTGCTTAAAATACATATCCTTTTTTTGGGCACCTCTTTTAGAGATGGGGGTTCACTATGTAGCCCAAGCTGGTCTCGAATGCCTGGACTCAAGCGATTCTCCTGCTGCAGCCTCCCAAAGTGCTAGGATTACAGGTGTGAGCCACTGTGCCTGGCCTCCTCAGTTTTAAGTGTTCTACCTATTTTGTATTCAGCTTTCTAATGGCCTTTCTGGGAGAGAGTGTGTTCTCACGTATCATGCCTGAAGCCATCATTCCGTCTGGTTCCTATTTCGTGGCCTCTCACTGTCTTTTGGGACTCCTTGTCTGCTGAGTCTTTGTCATCATAGTTTCCTTTCATTCTTTGAACATATTTGTTGTGGCTGCTTTGAAATCCTTGCTAAATCTCACTTCCCTGCTGGTC